TTGTTTCTGTATGTGGTGTGAGGTACAGAACCAGTTACATCAGTCCATCCTATCTTGCAACTCTCTTAACTTCCTCACCATTTAGAAGTTCTGTGACTACACAGTCTTTTCCCTCTTTTTGTTTGTAGTTGTCCTCACTTGTCAATTGATGTCTCTGGTTTCCTGTTTACAGTCTTGTAAGCTCCTTTTACTTTGGATATGTTCTCTCTTTTTCTTAAGGTTAGCTATCAGTTTATTCATTTTCAAAATATTTTAATGGGATATAATATTAATACCAACCTTACAAAGATAGCACACAAAAAAGGGCAAATTACAAACCATCTCACTTATGAATACTGATATAAAATATTAAACAAATTATTACTTAACAGGATTCAATTACATTATAAAGTTAATGCATCATGACTAAGTCAAGTCTATGAAAGGCTGGCTGAGGATTTGAAAATCCATTAATAAAATTCACTGTATAACATGTAAGGAGAAAAATCCTATGATCATGCTCACAGATGTCAAGAAGCCATCATATAAAATTCAACACACATTTCTGGTACAAACACAATTTTATAGCTACTTCCTAATATGATATCTCTATCTCCCTTGCCACTCCATGCCCCTCTTTTCTGCTTGAGTAGAGCCACACATATACCCTTGGGCAAAAAGTTATTTTAGTTGATAACACAGATATTCTGGCTAAAATCAGGAAGAAGAATGTTTTCTATTTGAATTACCATGTAACATTATTTTAAAGACATCAGCAGGGTAATTCAGGAGCTCTGGCGCCATAGTGCCTAAGGTGTTTGACTGCTAACCAGAAGGCTGGTGGTTCAAACCCATCAGCCACTTCTCAGAAGGAAGATTGTGCAATCTACTGCTGTAGAGATACTGCCTTGGAAACCCAAGGAAAGGTCATTATGAGCCAGATCCGACTCAGTGGCAGTGAGTTTGGTTTCTTAGGGTTTAGCAGAGTAATTAAACAAGAGAAAGCACTTTGGAACATACGAATTAGAAAAGACCTAACACTGTCCTTTTAAAGATAAAGTAAATTTATAGCTGGAAAATCCAAAAGAAGCAAAAGAAAAACTATAAGAATACATAAAACTAATACATCAAAACAGCCTTTTTTTATACAAACGCTGTCCAATTAAAAGATACTGGAAGACCTCACACCTAAAAGCAAAAAAAATTAAATAAATAAATAAATAATAAAAATAAATACCTAGAACAAACAAACAAGAGGTCAAATCTCTAGTCAAAAACTATATAATACTCCTGAAAGAACTAAACAAATGGAAATGCACACATATTCTTGGACAAGACAACTTGGTATCATAAAGATACTAATGTTCCTTAAGTTAATTTAGAAATGGAATGCAAATCCCAATAAAAATACTATTTTTTTTTCTTAGACAAGTTAATTATAAAGTCATATGGAAGAACAGAAAAGGACAAGAAAAAAAAAACTAGAAAAAAAGGGGAGCAATATTAAAACTTTGTTGTTGTGTTTTGCCATCGAGTTGGATCCGACTCATCATGACCCCTCCTTGCATTTCTGAGGTAGTACCACTATGGAAGTAGATTGGCCAACCTTCCTTCCCCAACCTTCCTTCTGAGGAGTGGCTGGTGAGTTTGAACCATCAGCCTTCTGGTTAGCAGTCAAATGTCTTAGGCACTACACCACCAGAGCTCCCTATTTTTAAAACATAAAGGTTTGAACATTTAAATACTGTGGTGTTGATGCACAGAGAAAACATAATTTCTGTGTAACCAAAGAATGAGGAAAACTTTCTGAACTACGACTTAAAATCCAGAAATGAAAAAGTAAAAACAAAACAAAAACAGAAACAAATAGAAAATGTATGCACTGAAAATAAAGAGGAAACAAAGAGCTAAAAACATATATTTCAAGTAATAGCACAAGAAAAGACAATGTCCTTTATAAAGAATCTTTAAAATTTATATGGGAAATACTAACACCTGAAAGAAAAAGTAGACAAACGATGTAAAAAGATGGTTCAAAGAAAAACTGCAAATGCTACTTAAACGTGGGTGGGTGGGGGGACAGAGCAAGCTCAACTGCACTCTTATATAAGAGTATGCATTCCAAATTACGGAGTGCCATTTCTTACTTGTCTGATGGCAGAAATCCAAAAGTCTGACCACAAATTCTGTTGGTGAGGTTGTAGGCAAAAAGCCCTTTCAGACTGCTGGTGGAATGCCAAGGACACAGCCAACCTCTGTGGAAGGAGAGATTCACCCACCCTTTCACCCAGGCATCTCTTTTTGATGTAATCTATCCCAAAGAGAAACTGGCAAAAATAGCGAATATACACAAGCAAAGGTTCAATGCCACACAGACAGCAATTAACAGCAAGTCGCTGAAGAAATGATATAGTCACAAAGTGGAGTAGTATGCAGCAGCAAAGAAAGAAGTATTCACTTTTTTTTTTATCATGATGGCATTATCTCTATAATACATTAAAGGAAAAAAGCAAGGCACAAAACTGTCTTTTGCATAATTTTCTTTTTACAAAGGTAGTAGAACACGAACATGTGTATGTAAGTTTATGTATATGTGTGTATGTATTCTCACAAAGAAACAATGTAAGAATAAAGCAAAATCAAGTAGAGGGTTAGAAATTAAAATATTAAAGACAAATATAAAAAGGAAAAAATTCCTAACACTAATCCCTAAACATTGGAAATAAGTGAACCTTACTCTATTAACACATAGGTGGTATAACCACCCAGAGAAAATAACTACTAGAACTGATATTAAAATATAGTATTTTCCTGTAACCCAAATAGTGTGGTACTGGTATAAAAACCAAAAAACCAGCTGCCACTGAATCAATTCTGACTCATGGTGACTAGACCAATGGAATAGAACTGAAAGCCCAGAAATAAATGTAGACATCTATCACCAATTAATTTTTGACAAGGTCACTAAGTCCATTCGATGGGGAAAGAATAAATGGTGCTGGACAATTTGATCACCACATACAAAAGAATGAGATTGGATAATATCTCACACCAAATATAAAAATTAACTCAAACTGCCTACATGTAAGAATGAAAACCATGAAACTTAGAAGGAAACAGAGGTAAAGCTTCAAGATCTTGTTTTTGACAATGATTCTTAAGTCATGACACCAAAAGTACCAGCAACAAAAAAAAAGATAAATTAGACTTCACTAAAATGGTGGTGGTGGTGGTGACTACATCAAAAGATTTTATCAAGGGAGTGAAGAGACAACCTACAGAATGGGAGAAAATATTTGGGAACATAAATCTCATGATGGTTTAATACTCAGAATATATAAAGAACAGCTACAACTGAATGAGGAGTCCTGATGACACAATGGGTAAACGTTTGGCAGCAGTTGGAAGCCACCCAGCATCTCCAGGGGAGAAAGACCGAGCAACCTGCTCCAATAAAGATTCCAGTCTAGAAAACCCTATGGGGCAGTCCTAGTTTGTCACATGGCATTGCTATGAATCAAAATCCGACTCTTTGGCACCTAACAACACAACTGAACAAAAAAAGAAGACTCAATTAAAAAGGGGGCAAAGATCTGAATAGACATTTCTCCAAAGATGATATACAAATGGCCAATAAGCACATGAAAGATGCTCAACTGTCACTAGTCATTAGGAAATGCCATCACAGTAAGATACCACTTCACACCCACTAGGATGGCTCTGATCAGCAATCAACACACGTTGGCAAGGATGGAGAGAAACTGGAACCCTCACATTGCTGGTGGGAATATAAAGTGTGCAGTCTCTGTGGCACGCAGTTTTATTCTGCAGTTCTCATTGAGTCTATTCTGACTCACAGCAACCTTACAGAACAGAGTGGAACTGCCCCATAGGGTTTCCAAGGCTGTACATCTTTATGGAAGCAGACTGCCTCATCTTTCTCCTGCAGAGTGGCTGGTGGGTTCAAACCGCCAACCCTTTGGTTAGCAGCCGAATGCCTTAACCACTATGCCACCAGAGCTCCTTTTATTAAAATACTATATTAACATGTTTTTATTGTGCTAAAATATCATTTTAAAATTACCAAGATTCCATGAGGGATACCTGGAGTTCATTGCTGTATTTTTTTTTTTTCCTTTTTATTATGGAAAATTTCAAAAAGAAAATGAATGCACTCAAACTATGATTCTCTATTTTGCTTACAGGTGCCCATTGTCATTCCCATCTTGGTGACTTTCATATCAGTGTTTTTGGTGTTGGCCCCTATCATCAGTGAGCCTGCATGGGAATATCTCTACTGTGTGATATTTATACTAAGTGGCCTTGTATTTTACTTCCTTTTTGTCTATTACAAGTTTGGATGGGCTCAGAAAGTCTCAAGTGAGTAGCAACTGAATGACTGTGCCTTTAGTGAAGCCCAGACACATACAGTAGGATACTGTAGTGAAGACTTCGCTATCATAGAATTTCTCATATGGCTCACACATTTCAGCTCCTCTTTAGGAAGACTCATGACCCACATGTCAGTATGTGATCTCTGGGGTTCACCTGTGGCCATCAATCACTCTAAGAAGTAGGACAGGGAAGCACCATTTTCATTTGACATACAGACATCATCTAAGAGGCTCAGCAGCATACCAAAGACACCCAAGAAGTAGACAGAGTTGGCACAAGGGCCTGAGCCTTCCAGTTCCAAGACTACAGGTCTTGCCTTCTATTCAGCAATCTTAACTCCTAAACTACATTACAATTGCTTATAAATTTAACTACATCAGACACTTTTAATTTTTAGAAAGAAATCACTGGGCCGCCACCACTACTGGGTGCCATCAAGTTGATCATGACTCTTGGTGACCCCATGTGTGTCAGAGTAGAATTATGCTCCACAAGGTTTTCAATGGCTGATTTCTGGAAGATCACCAGGCCTTTCTTCCAATGCTAACAACACATCAGAAGAGGTTCTGAATTACAACCAATTGTCTATATTATATTCACAATGATTTATCTTGTACAGCAAGTTCAATTGCAGAAAACCCAATTTATAAAAGCATTTGAAGCTCCTTTCCCACAAGCACCCTCACCACACCACAGTCCAATGTATCTGCTAGCCTCCTTCTCCATATGCTGTGATTTCCTTGAAGACAGGAACTGGGCTGTGGCTGCTTTAATCCTGGATCAAGCACAGTATCCTGCATACAACAGCCAGTTAGTATTTATTGACTACATGTGATTAAAAGAAGCTCTCTGGCAGCTCAGTGCCTAAGGCATTTGACTACTTACCAGGTTGAACCACCAGCCTGTCCAGGGAAGGAAGATGGGGCAGTCTGTTTCTGTAAAGATTTATAGCCTTGGAAACCCAATGTGGGTCACTATGAGTTGAAATTGACACAATGGCTGTGAGGGTTTTTTTTGACATTTGATTAAACCCTGCCTCTTCCTTTCTTCTTCAGCTTGTCTGTGAAGAAAGGTTCCTGCTCAGTGCGCAGTCAGGCCAAAACAGTTTACACACTGAGTGATTAAGAGGAGAGAAAATTATTTATTGCAAAGCGGCAATGCAAGGAGACAGGGGTCCATACCCAAATCTGACTTCTTGAATCTCAATCGAATTACAGTTTCTGTAGGTTTCTGGAGAAAGGGCTATGAATATTCATAAAAATTTTAGGAATTTGGGCATGAGAGGGTTGACAATTGGCTGAAATTTCCTTCTCCTCAGTTTAAAGGGACAGTAGTCTTTTAATTCAGTGTACTTGCATACCGGATGAGTCACACCGGCTTCCTGTCATCAGTTGATCAGGGCTTAGGCAGAGGGGAGAGTGTTAGTTCCCAGCAACTTTGTTCTTCTTTGTCTCACTGCGCGTCTGTGGACTGGAGTTAATTTTCAAGTTGTTTTCTAAGACACATTATTGTGTTTATCACTTGTTTCTAAGGAAATAGCAAGAAAGAATGTTTTTGTTCCATTCAGTTCATAAGGAATTGAGCTTATTGTGTTTACTCCTCTATCTCCAACCGCGGCCCTATTCATCTTAACCAGGGTGGGGAAATAGTTGAGGGTAATTGAGTTTACTTATTTATTTCCAACCAGCATCCTTATCTGTTCTAATCATCTGTCTTAACTAGGGTGGGGGAAACAGTTGGGTTTTGACTTTGCTCAGTTTCATCTGAACAAGGGAGTTCAGGGACTCATGTTCAGTCTTCATTTACATACATACAATTTAGGGAGAATTTACAAAGTAAGAATCAGAGCTCTGGTGGTGTAGTGGATAAGGCAATTGACTGGCAACTGGAAGGTCAGTGGTTCAAACCCACCAGGCACTCCATGGAAGGAAGATAGTGCGATCTACTTCCGTAGAGATTAACAGCCTTGGAAACCCAATGGGGATTGGTATGAGTCAGAAATGACTCAATGGCAGTGAGCTTGGAACTACAAAGAAAGAATGAAACTCAACCCAACTGGAAGACAATGAAGTTGACCCAGGACTTTAGATGGAGTCAGGTAGGACTGAGAATGCCTGATTCCTTGTCTGTGAAATTAGATATCAACATTTACTTGGCAGTGGTGTTATAACCAAGAGAAATAATCTGTTTCATTTTGATTAGCAAAGTGAAATAAAAACAAAATATAGCTGAATTATTTCCACCAACGATTCTTTTCCTTTCCTCCCCACCCTTTGACCTAAACAGTAAGCTGAGAGAGAGAGAGAAGTTGCAGGCACACTCCTATAGAAATGAAAGATATTAGTACAAGAAAAAAACTAATTCTTCCCATGCCTCTGAAAATGAACTTGGATTTATTATACTGACAGAGAACATAGCCAGAATGACCTGAAACCTAATGGTACAAAATAATGTCTTTGGAGTCGAAAATTGAGCCAAGCTCCTCTCTAAAAAGAACCAGTAAGAAGTTGAGATTAAGGAGGTGGGGAAAAAAAAAAGAACAATCTGCATTTTAACCAAAATGCCGTCTTAGTGACTTCAGAATCTTGGTCAAAGGTAGTAACATATAGTTGAGGCATTCATATTTTCCTGAAAGAGTGAATTGTTTGGTGGCAATAAAATATCAGGCCCCGAATGCTTTAGTGTCAGTTTCTCTCCGAACTGATGCAGCTCCCAGGATGTCTTAACTCTAAGCCTCACTATGACCTGAGCGCAGGGTCTAACAGAAGTGACACACCACCCACCCCCAATATAGCATCTATACAGAACAAAACAAAACAAAACCTCATTTCTGTCAAGTCAATTCAACTCATAGTGACCCCTCCTTGGGTTTCCAAGGCAGTATTTCTATGGAAGTAGATGGCTCAATCTTCCTTCTGAGCAGTGGTTGGTGGGTTTGAACCATCAGCCTTCTGGCAAGCAGTCAAATGACTTAGGCACTATGCCACCCGAGCTCAGAACATGTAACAAGATATTACTATTCACTGACAGCAGCAATGACTAAGGTGGACATTTTTTTTTTTTTTTTTTTTTTTTTTTTTGTGATTTGGGTGAAGATTTACAGAGCAAATTCACTTTCCATACAGCAGTTCACATATACTTTGTCTCATGTCATTGACCACAGTTTACCACAATGCAACAGCTCCCCTCTCACTTCCTCCCCATAGTTACCTCTTCCCAGTATCCATCCTCCCATACACTCCTGTCCCCTGAGCTGTCTCCCTGTACATAAGCAGCCCTTCTTTCTCCCATGATTGTTCTCTCCAAGGAGTGTATCTACTTGAGGTAAATGTTTAACTCATATGCTTGTACTGTTTGGCTGGAAACCACAGGGGTGGGTTCAATTCCAGACCTGAAGGGAAGCTAGGGGCCATAGTGTCAGTGGTTCCAGGGTGGAGATTTTTAAATCACATTTTTCTAACTGTATTTATTCACTTATTTTTATTTCAGAACCGATTACCATGTACCTTCAGATGCTAATGGAAGTTGTCCCACCTGAGGAAGAGCCTAAGTAACAAGTTCAATCTCTTATAGCCAAGTCAAAACTGTGATTAATTTATTTTTTTAAAAAATTTTATTGTAATTTGGGTCCAAGTTTACAGCGCAAATTTATTTTCCATACAGTAGTTCATACACATTTTGTCTCAAGACATTGACTGCAATTCCTCACAATGTAACAGCTCTCTTCCCACTTCCTCCCCATAGTTACCTCTTCCTTGTGTCCTTCCCTCCCATCCACTCCCACCCTGAGCTGTTTCCCTGAGCAAACACTGCCCTCTGTTCGCCCATAATTGATCGCTCCAAGGAGTGTATCTACTTGATGTAATTGTTCACCCCATATACCTGTTTATTGTTTGGCTGGAAGCCACAGGAGTGAGTTCAACTGCAGATCTGAAGGGTGACTAGGGGTCAGCATCTCAGGGGCCTCACCAGGCTCCATCAGACCAGCAAACCTGGTCTCTTTATGTGCTTTTGAGTTTTGTTCCACATTACTCTCCCACTCTCTTCAAGATCGCCTGCACTGATCCCCCTCCGAGTGGCTGACAGTGGTAGCTGGGTACCATCTAGTTCTTCTGGTCTCATGGTCATATAGGCTGAGGATCACATGGTCTATCAGTCCCCTTGGACTAACTGCTCCCAAGTGTCTTTCGTTTTCTGTGTTCTTCTTTGCTCTAGATGAGAGACTCATCGTTGTATCTAGATGGCCGCTTGCAGATTAATTTATTTTTGTAAGCAATATTTGTGGTTATTCTTCCAGATGTTTTTCTTAAGGAAAAAAAAAATTATCCAGATGTTTTTGCTATCTTATTTTTAGATATCCTTAATTCTTTGAGTGGGGGTTCAAGGTAGGAGAAATAACAGGTAGAAGATGTACTGCAGCAGAAGAAGATGTAACGTACTAGAATGCTGATGACTAGGAAGGGGCTGAAGAAACAACTACACCATTATGGTAGCAACAATTTAACAAGGATCAACAAAGGTCACACCTACTTAAATAAAGGGTATTCCTGAAATAAATGGCAAATATGGCATATTTATATATAAAAAACTGTTTATGTTTTTGCTTTGAATGCAATGTTAAAACAGAAATATTTTGCTACCCATCCCCACCCCAACCCACCCACCAGGAGCTCTGGTGGCACTGTAGTTAAAGCTTTTAGCTGCTAACCAAAAAAGGTCAGTGGTTCCAACCCACCAGCCACACCACAGGAGAAAGATGAGGCAGTCTGCTTGTATAAAGATTTACAGCCTTTGAAACCCTATGGAGACAGTTCTGCTCTGTCCTGTAATGTTCACTATGAGTTGGAATAGACTTGATGGCAGTAGGTTTGGGGATTTTTAATCCCCTTGCCTAACAAAAAAGTACCACACTCCCTGTACTTAGCATAGTGATGTACATGGCAGGTCTATCCCAGGCTCAATGCAGAGGACTCTACTGCAAAGTTAACATCCAGAACCAATGGAGCCTGTGTGTCCACAAGGGTTACTCTGATTGGTGGTTTGCATCACAGGCTTCCCAACAACCCTCACTGGCATCTCGGCCAAGACAGAAAGTGTGTTCTATTTTAATTCTACTTTGCATTTGGTACTCAGTGAAAATGTTTAAAAAATATCAAAGCAAATATTTCTGTGAAAACACTGAAATTTTATTGCTGATATGACCCAAAAGACATTTACACTACAAATGACTAAGCATGTAAGCAATTTTAGAGTACAGCCAAAAGAATTTTTATCTTGCATTTCAGAAATTTACCCAAAACATGAAATCAATACATAACAATGGCAGAACAAAAAGCCAATTACTAATTGGCTACATTTCACAAGCTGGCATCTTATGTCCCATAAAATATTAATCAGAACTTCAAATATCAGTAAATCAAAAATGTCTGAAAACAAAAGAGTTAAACATAATGCCCTCCCCCAATATTTTCATTTAGCTGTTTGTTAACTACCTTAGAGAATTATCATTACTTCATTGCCAGCAGGACCACTCGCCATTTGTACACGGGGTACATATATTTGTGTGGCTCTTATTGTTTGCCCTGTTTTACAAAAGAGACCAAATGGATGGAGCATCAACAGGAGGTAGCTAATGCTCAGAGGCAGGCCACAGACAGTCAGGGGAAAGCCAACACATCTACTGGGGCCTGTCACCAGCCCAGAGGTCTCCATCCTCAGGAACAAAGACTACATCCACAGACACTGACATCTGATAAGGACATTAGAAGTGCTCCACAGAGTAATAAACTATCAGCAAAGACAGCAGAACTTTCTGCTTCCTGAAGAACCTGTCTAATTTGGCCAAGAAAAAGCAAAAGCATCAGCTTACTTTATGGGCCAATTTGATACCTGCCAGGCAACCTCTGAAAGTTACAGCAGCAGCAAGGATGTGCTCCTGGCAGCTAGCCACAAGTCCTCCCACTGGAGGGCAGTGCTCTGATCACCCATCACCGGGCCACTTTGTGGAAAAATGACCTGGCCGGCAGCATGCTCTGTGGGCACTCCCTGTGGTGAGGTGAGGCCATGCAATGAGCTGAATGTCTTATTTTACAGATGAGGAAACTGAGACCCAGAGGTGATCCAAGCCTTCTGACAAAACAGCTTGATGTCACCTCTAGTTCAAATGGTGGCATGTATCTGGGACATACACAAACTTGGGCATCGGTTCTTTCTGATACAAACTTCAAGAATAAAGATCTTGGGGCAGTCACTCAATAGACGTGTTCTATAAATAGGGTTTTAAACTTCCCAATAGGTCATCTTTTCAGTTAACAAAGACACACGAAAGTCAGCCCCTGGACATTTTTATATTTAAATGGGAACAACCACACAACTGATTTCACAACTTTGTGGGCCACACCCTTTCCTTAGGATGGGGCCATGAACGTTTTTTAGGGTATATCACATCAAGTGTTCTGAACGCTACCTCCAGGTACTCTGCATGTCCTTTTAAAGTTTCCACTGAAGAGAAACCTTTGTCCTGTTTGCCCAGGACTCTGCAGGTCCAGGGGTTAATGTAGAAGCAACAGCTTCACGTCCAGAAGGTCCAGCAGGTCCTGAGCTTTGTTGGTATTGCAGCAGCAGCCTCATTTTTATGTGTGGACTATCTCTGCATCAGAAGTAAACTTACACATAGTGGCTATCAATATTTTAAGAATACTGAAAGTGTTATACATGCAGGCAGTCATGTCTAATCCCACGTAACTCATAGTTAAGGGGTCATAACAGCAGAGTTTAGTATTAATCTATAGGATGGAAATCTCAATTTATATGTGCAAGACCAGGTTTTCAGAAATGTACTAGATATAGATATAAATGAAAAACAACCAACTAATGAACTGATTCTAGTTCATTATCCAAATGTCACAGTTTACTCTTTGTCACTCAAACTTGAATGTGTCAGGATGAGCTTCCTGTCAGAGGCAATGAAGACAGCATACTAATAACCTGGGCTTGCATGTATTGATGGCTTTGCTCCTCAGACAGCCTTCTTATCATCAGCCCAGTTCTAAATTAACTCAGCATTTTTCACCATGACCTATCTCAGGGGCACAAAATGACAGTAATAACTTATCCTTCAGGAGAAAACTGTTTCCTTTCTTAACTTTCAGTCACACAGCAATGTCCATCTTTGTTGAAACATACTCTTTGGGATGCAGTTCACAATTTCACTCACTCTCATTTCCATCATCCTCTGAAGCGCTGTCACTGATTTCAGCTACTTCTGCCACTTTGCAGGGCAGGCCTTTAGAATTTACGACTAAAAAAGTCAGATATAAAAATGTATTAACTATAGACGAATATTTTCCCTATTATTTTGATCAATGCAGAGAAAGCCCCTGTGCTTGCAGTTCTATCTACTGTGCCATCTATTTATATTGTATTTTCATTATTTTAGGTGACAAATGATCAGTTAAATTTGTTGGCTTATAAATGAATTACCCTCCTAGAAAAAATATCTGTGTTATAATACACTTAAAAAAACCCCCAAAACTTTAACAGAAGAAGGTATACTTGTCACCAAGGGGTAAAGCCCACTCAAACCAGAGTGATATGCCTCCCCGTCCCTGCCATTCCCCCCGGGAGCGGGTGTGCAGCCTCTTACCCTCGGAGAAGTGGCAGTCCTCTTCACATTCTTCCCAGTGATCAAAATCAAAAGCCACATTTGGATTCTGTTCAATATAACATTTCACATTAAGTGAGAGAATAAAACACACCAAGGGTGTTAAGATCAGCCACAGTTAATTTCAGCTCACCTTCTGTTTGAGTAAACTACACCAAAATTCCCTTCTCTCTTTGGCAAGATTGATTACAGGCTCACTGTTTTTAATAATGCACTTGCAGTTGTCTTTTAGTATGTTTCCCTGAAGCTCCATATCCGCCAAGTAAAATTTGTCTCCCACCCAGGCACTAGATTTATAGAAAGAAATGTAGTCAGTCTTTCAAAATGTGAGAAAATGTTTCTAATTAAGTTTATAAAATATACATAAACCTACCTGAAAATGACTCTATCTCTAAAATATTTACATCTGCAATCTTTCACGTTCCTTATTTTTATCTTTAAGATGATCACATCGTCTTTTTGAAACCATTTTATCTGTGGGTGGAAACTAGAAAAAAGGCATATATATTCATCAATATTTATTCACTAGTTAAGGAAAACATGACCTTCAAACAACGGATGGACATACCTTTTCATATTCAGTTGTATATTTTTGTTAATGGAAGCATCTCCAGTGTTTTCAGATAAAGCTTCTGTACAAAATCAAAGTCAAGTTTTTCTATTGATTATTATTTATATGTAACTCTAGAACATACATACATACACTTTTTTATACTTTATACAAACTTTTAGCTGTGGAATTACTCATATAAGAGTAAATTTCATAGTAACCCAGTATCCAGTTGCAAAGAATAATCAGAAAAAAATGAAAATGTACATCACTTAGTAAAACTAATGTTTTAAAATGAAAACAGACTTTGAAAAATATTAAACACAATCAGGAAAGTAAAGTTATGCTTCTGAAAGGGAAACATGTTACAATCAGTGTCCACAGGTTACAAATCTCCAGGCTTCTTTGGGTCTGTCTTAACCTGCCAGAACCCCACTAATGATGGCTTCTAGGACAGTAACCATCACGCACATGCAAGCAATGCAGAACACAGCATTTTCTAAAACAACGCAATTTAAACTTTCAACCTAAAACACTGTAAGCTTCCATTCACAGACTTGAACAAGATGTTCATAGCTGGTTTTTTTTCTCCCAGTTTTAACATTTTCTTTACATTATGTATCTTCTTGGCCTTTTTAGATGGTCAGTGATCCACATACCAGTTTATCTTGCACTGCATTTGTGTTCATAACAGTTTTAAGGAAAACAGCTCCAAACTGAAAACAATCCAAACATTTATCAGCAACGGACCAGATAAATAAATTAGGCCATATTCATATTATAGAATAAAACTCAGCACTAAAAAAGAACAACCATTATTTGCAATAACATAGATGAATTTCATAGACATAATGTTTAGTGAACAAATGGTCACTGTGACTCAGAACCAACTTGATGGCGATGCGTTTGGTTTTTTGGTTTTTAATGTTCAATGAAGAGTGTATATTTAGTTTCCAATCAGGCAAAACCAATGTGGCTGGAAGTCAGAATAGTTATTATTAGGGAGGCATATACACACGGAAGGTCCATGACTTTGGGGATTCTATTAATGTTCAAAGTTCTAGCTGGTTGTGCTTAATGGGCATGCAAATAAGTAAAAAAAAAAGTCTACACTTAAGATCTGTGCACTTTACTGGATACATGATACACCTCAAATAACAAAAAGTAAAAAAAGTACAAAATGAAACACTGGAAGCAGAACTGTCACAAACAGGAACAGTTGGGTAAAATCAGTTCTACCACCTTCTCTGAAATGCATCTGCAAGTGCATTTCAAAGTCTGTATTTGAAAATTTTCAAAATATGAATGGTTTTGAGGTAATCATCTTTTAAATAACAGTACTGACCATGCTTGGGGTTTTCTGAGTTTGTCTCAGAATTAGCACCTCTTTCTGAGGCCACATCCTCTTTCCCTGTGATTTGCAGACCCGCAGCATCTTCTGCTGAAGGAGGTATCCTGGACAGAATAGGCAGAGGTTAATGAAAACCTTTGGGACTTGAGGAAATACTTGCAAACCCTGTCAGGAAATTCTCATCAAGAAGTGAAAGGCAGGGAATAGATGACTGTGAAGTGCTTTTTATCTGGAGTCAGACTTGAACAAGGTTATGACACAGCCAGCTGTGTTCCCTGCTGTGTTCTTTGTATCAGGCACATAGTAGATGATTAATAAATATTATTATGTACATGCATGAACTCATTTACTAAGATAATTTTCCCTACAAATTCACTTAACTTTGAGAATAAGAGCATGCACTGCTATGACCTTCAAGCAGTAAAAAGGGCAGTCCCTCTGTTCATCATCTTCCAGGATCCCACTCTGTGACAAGTTTGAATCTCCTTCTAAGAATATTCTTTGTGTAAGAAAGCAAATGTTGCCATCTATATCTATCTAAAACACACACACACACAAATTTTAAATACATGGAAACTTACTAAATTCACTATTCTGACCCTTGTTTTATTATATTTAATAACTAAATAGAGATTACTCCATTATCAGTACACAGAGGACTGACTCATTATTTTACACGTTTGAAAGTGTGTTATCCTGGGTTTTTTGTGTTAACTTTTTTTTTTTTTTTTTAGCAAGTATCATAAAGTTCAATATTTAAAAATAAATGAAAAGATCTGTGCAATGAAAAATCTCACTGTCAGCCCTGCTTCCTAGCTATCTAGTTACCTTCTTCATAGATAACAATGCAATTCATTTATCGTACTTCCTTTAAGAGACAACTGCAGCCTAAACAAGCAAACATGTATGAACACATCTATGCATACACACTTACCTATGAGGTATGGGAAGGTGTATGTGTTATCTCCAAGGGGATTCTGATCAACATGAATGAGGCTTGTGGCACAGCACTCCACAACTGGCAGAGAACAGTATCCCATGCCCAAAACCATGCCTTCAGGGACTCTACTTGAGCCCCTGCCCTGCTCACCACTGGGCAGCACCAGTCCTTCAGTCACCCAGGCTACTCCTCTGCCATAACCCTAATTTCTTGCACTAGACCCTCATCTACTAGGGCTCTGTGTCTTTCGCCTCACACACTTCACAATACACCCAGAGCCCTCCCCAGCTGCCTTCCTAAGCTCTAGGCTTGCAGTTCCAATAAGCTTACTATGTCCATATTCATCCACTTAGTATGTCTAAAACCAAACTCAGTATCTCCTTCTCTGCAAACCAGCTGCTCTCCAAGAAACATCTTCTGTCAACTATGTCAATGTCCTCTCAGTCACTGTTGTTGTTATGTGCCGTCGAGTTGGACCCGACTCATAGCAACTCCTGCTTGGAATTAGACTGCCCAACCTTCCTTTCGAGGAGTGGCTGGTGAGTTTGAACTGCCAGCCTTCTGGTCAGCAGTCAAGTGCCTTAGGCACTATGCTACCAGAGCTCCTTTCTCAGTCACTAGAGGTCTCAGAGGGAGCTCTGGTAGCATAGTGCCTAAGGCACTTGACTGCTAATCAGAAGGCTGAGGTTCAAACCCACCAGCCACTCCTCAGAAGGAAGATTAGGCAATCTACTTCTGTAGAGACACTGCCTCGGAAACCCAAGGAGGGGTCGCTATGAGTCGGATACACTTGATGGCAGTGAGTTGTTGTTGTCATATAGTGCACTTCTACTCTGACATAGATAGAAGGTTGCTATGAGTCAGAATTGACTTGACAATGTACAACACAAAAGATTTATTACAGGTACAAAACTGTATAGTTTATCACAATTCTCTAATA